CACGGCAGTGAAGCTTCGGTGTTGATCACTGATGTCATGCTGTCGAAGATGGTGATGATGATGATGATAATGATCAGCCCAGAGAATGAAAGTGCCTTACCAGACCGGATTTCAATAAGTAATCGTCAATGTGTTGTGTGACTGATTCGATCACCAATAAAGATGGCCCTATTTTATTCCCAGCGGGTGATTTGAATGCCCAAGTTGGCCGACTAGGTCCGAAGATTCACAGGCAGTTTGTAAGCTTGGAGCAATGCTCGAGGTACGAATAATGGGGAGCGACTGCTTTAGCTGTGTGAGATCATTGCCTGTTCCTGTGCAAGTACGAACTTCCAACGCAAACACCCACGACGAGTTACTTGGGGGCCACCGACCGCAAGACGGTCACGGATTCGGTTGGACCAGTTGGCTGTCACTTACCGATGGACAGACCCAGCTAGGGGTTGTCGTTCCTTCTGGGATACGCAGCTTGACTCTGATGACGCTACTGTGCGAGCGTGCCAGCTATACGCGTGCCAATGTGAGCAATCCTATTCAACTTCGACGAGTTTCAGTAGGTGAAGTGTATCGGGCCGATCTGTCTAGAAAGCTACTGGAAACGCACAGTCATACGGATGACGAATATTACCTAGAGGTTGAATGGAGGCGAGTTAAAGAGGCAGTGCTCTCAGCTTTCATACCCGTTCATCCACGTCATTTGGTTTGACAAAATGAACACAGCATGTAGTCGAGATCAATATATCTTCTTACCACCAGAGAGGCTATACCAGCAACTAGTGTCTAAGGTGGTTCACTCGGATCCCTCAAACACCGGATAATCAGAGGTTTGAATTTTGACAAGAGCGCAGGTGGATTTCAAAGTCTCAGGAGACTGACAAGGCTTTTGCTGCAAGCAATACCTGCTTCTCGAATTATTCGATCAGCCGCCCAAAATAAGGCAAGTTTCAGTGAAACAAGATATAAAAGTGACGGAAAGGCAATTCACTACCTCAGCCATCGTCTTGAGCGGTGGGTCAAAGATCACTTCAGGCGGTCCCTTTCAAAACAAGAACCAAGCGGGCGCGAATAGCACATTGACATCAGCAAGCTGTCACTAGCTCAAATCCAGTGTGAGATGTCAATCCTCAATCGCGACAAGGCACCTTACCTGGATGGTCTTCAGCACCCGCCCGTCGAAGAAGATGGCAAGGTCCTGATGACCACAATGCGGAAGATTTAGAACGAAAACAGACTACCAATGGAATGAAGCTTCTCGACCGCCTTCTTACTTTTTAACCTGTTAAACGCAATATCAAAGGTGATTTCTGATAGTATATTGCACTGAATTTTCGATTATCAGGGAGAAAGATTTGTGAGAACGAAGCCGCATTTTGCCCCGGCCGAGGATGCATCTACCCAAAGTTTACTTTGGCTGATTATTTTTAATTATGATATTTCTGCTCAGCTTAATGTACTGTAATGATCGCGCGATTTTTCAGCTTGAACGACAACCCAGTAACGCAGTTCATTGTATGGACTATCACACTACTCATAAAGTCGCTGAAAACTATATGACAACCCACGGCAGGTTTCTTCCTCCTTATTGAGGCTCATCAGATAGGCGCAGACCCTGGGCTCTTATCCGTCAACCTTATCTTCTGTTAGAACCCAAAGTGCGCCAAAGCCACGAAATGCATTCACTTGCAATCATTTCGTTTTTCAGTTAAAACCCAAATCATTTAGTATTATTGAGACCGTTCAGCCCAGACGCTCTTAAAATTCACAGCTGTCGTTCTTCTTCACGTGAGGGGGAAGGCTGAACTTATCCACTCGGAAAACTTGTGAGTAGGCTTATTCATGGAACCTTACTGCGAGTACTTTGCCAGATGCAACATGAGGTGGTTTTTATGCAGCGAATTCAGCTGAAAAATATCATCAGCGAGAGATTCAGTTGGTATTCAGTTCGGTCTCCCATAAAAAAGTGTGTATATGGCAAAACTCTAGGATATTTAGGTTTACTGGATAAAAGGCAAGTTTGTTGAGCCACAATTAAACTGGAGAAAAGTACAGTTGTTCTCCGAGGAACGCTACTCTTGCGGGGTAGTAATGGCGGCTTAATGACTCATTTAGAAAACTATACTAACCTGTCTGAAAAGTTACAGTTTTGAAGATGGAGTGCTAAAACCGAATGCACGAACCACCCAATATTGAATGAGCAAATTAAGTAGTGCATATCGTTCGTAACTTTTATTGGCACAAATCAAAAAAGAGGAAGAGAAAACCTTTTAAGATATAGACCTGAAAGTGTGCACGCTTTTTAAACCCTCTTTTTGCTATGTCACAGGTAAAGTTGATATTCTTTTCATTCAGCGATTCAGAGGTAGCGTGGCAAACGCAAGCCTCAGAAAACAATCACGTTCAGAGTCTTACTTTTGGGCTTATCGATCAATGAAGCGTCTAGACAATAGGCTCGTTGCATTGATTCATACCGATCAACAAACGACGTATTTCGACCTTGGGCATATGAATCCAAGCCCGTCAAAAGCACGCGATTCGCACGCAAACAAATTATCATAAAGGTGATTTACATATGGATATCCATCTTACATATCTGCCTGATGAGATTAAATGTCTTTGCTGGTGGCCAGCTGGGCTCTGTTCACACATAAAAACATCACAAAAAATGTGTTTAATTCCATGTGTTTAATTCCATGGTCTGTATCAGAAAACCACTAAGGCAAATTCCTCGAAGCTTGGAAGACAGTTCAAATATTACGTTCTGATTGTGTCACAAAAAATCAATAAGATAATATCTTTCGCATATTGATGAAGCTATTACGTGCTGTTATGACTGAATCAAATACAGTTCTCATGGGCGCTTTTGTCCTAACGGAGACTCATCATCTGGTTTCTCTGGTTTACAGACCCACACTTTTCCGCACAGGACCGAGCGCCCGCAAGCCAATGTGCACAAAGTGGGCGTCCGTGCCAAACTCTTGATTCCAGTCCAGTCACCAGATCATCTCACTGTTAATTTTGAGTAAGACGAAACTTTTAGTTGGACATCTGTTGATAATCTCGGGAGCTGTAAGTTCCAACCTCACCAGCTGTGACAGCTCGCCGACTGCCGTGGGAATACTGTCTGAAACTGCTTTGTAAAGAGCCTCGAGTCCGACCTCAACTCCGCACCAACTTACTGAATTCCCATAACGTACAAATTATTTGAGTGGCTCAGCCCATTAAAACCTGATATCATCTTCATTAGGAAATCCGATCCACTGATCTGATCCACTGTTCAACACAGCTTTCTGACCATTCCCACGTTGATGAACAGATCGATAGGTACTTAAAATCAAAGGTTCCACATCTGAACATAACTTTGTTTAACTTCGTTCATTCAGCCGTAATAATAAAGAAGGAAGCTTCATATCTTCACATCACACATTTGAAAGTTTGTAAGGCTGAAATCCGTTAAATGTCCTTAAGATGGAAAGCATTTCATTACCCTTTCAATCGATCTATCACTGCGCAATTTTGAAACCTTTCCGCAGCTACAGAGCGAACTAACTTGAATATCCAAAGTCTGAAACGCTATTGGCTGATCAATGAGAGTGCCCGGATGGAATCGATACATTCAAGCTATTGGTTTACTATTCATAGCGAGGGCGATATTCTAAATCGTTTCTTCAGTTCACTTCTGCTAGCCTTCAGAATGACGTTCAAGCTACAGATACATAAACAACGACATATGAGCAAAATGTGACAAAATCCGAAGCTTGTTTCCGGTCAGGATATAGCGGATGAGCTAGCAACTAAGTTTGTCGGTTCGATTCACAGTCATTTAGTCAAATTTGGTCACTCACTGCAACTTGTCAAATATCAGCGATCCACCGAAAGACCATCGACCAGAAGGTACTCAAAACAGCGAAAATGACCGCCATGAGACTATGTTAAGGCCCTCGCATATTCAAAGTTGTTAGCTGCTAGCACCGGCAGTATTGTGGCAACATAATCGTTCATGACTGATCCTACGTTTTCGCACTGTTGCTGTTTACGTGACCAAACACGGAACTTATCGGAAATCGTTCCCTTAAAAAGGTCATATTTCCGTCATCCACAGCTCCACTGAGTGGTGTACTCATTGGTGCTGCGACGGGGCACCCTGCGGTTGGTTTCTGACTGGTTAGCTCCCATAAACCACAGACTGATTTCTTAGAGGTGACGAAATTTTTTCCATCACCTTGGCCTCATCTATCTGGCCTGGTAAAATCGATCCTCGTTCGTTCTTTAGGTAGCCTTTTTCTCTATAACGCACCACATGGAGAGAAAAAAAATGCATTTACAGAAGTTCACTTATTTACTTCAACGAAGGAATGTCCTGGAAATAGGAAATCGATGGAGTTACTTTGATCGTTTGAGGCACAAGGTGTGAGAAGGCGTCGGCCACGGACTCCCCTGGGCAATATATGGCTCACGTTTCCAACGTTCTTAACATGGAAGGTGAGCTGTGAGTGACGTTCCGTAATATTGATAACTTAGTTGGATTCAGTGATTGCTGGATTGTCCTCCGAGCTTGGTAGTCAGCTTGAAAACCATAAGAGTTTATACGCTCGCCGTTCTGCTCGGTGCGCTGTTGTACACGTAACGCTGCATTGGAGAAGTCTCCTGGATTAGCGATAAAACAGTTAGAAAGTGACTGACGGGCTAGGCGAACAGGCCAACAATTAATAGACCTAAGGGAATCTAAAGTTCGAAATGCAAATCAAGTGTTCACAGACCCCATCTGGTACGTATGGCCACCATAAAGCCGTTAGAATTAAGCTTGCAGATTTTTAGGTCTCCTGTAGTTGATCAAATAAGATAATGTACGAAACTCGTTAACGCAAACCGATTTGACCATTCTTGGTCATCCTGACGATCTAATCGCATTTGTAGCTGGCATCACGTGACTTTTGTGGTGTCTGGTTGGCTCTATGGCCTGATCGACTTAGTTCGACGCACGAATTCGGTCAAAAACACAGGCTAAATCGCGTGCACGTGTACACACACGCGTGCACTCAAACACTCAACCGAGGCTTGGATATGATACTACATGAGCCCGGTATCGTTCAGTGTCGAAAACTCAACTTTCGAAGCTATCGTAATGCGCAAATTCAAACTGCTAGCCGTTATCACGATTTTTCTGTGTGTGGTGGCACTCACTCATTGGATCCACAATGGACGACAGAGTTATACAGAACCGAGCAAATATACTCAACCAAATCCACCTAACTTGTTAGAAAACACCGTCGATTGTGGACTACTTACGCAGATACTTCCTAACACGTGGTTATGGACCACGGAAGAAGAACGAAACTACCCCTTAGCGTTTGCAATCTCTGCATACGAGTCTTTTGAGCGACTCGCTCGACTGCTACGACTCATCTACCGGAAACCAAATATATATTGCATTCATGTGGATCGTAAGGCCACACCAGAGTTTAGGAGACGAGTAAAGCATTTGGCGAAGTGTTTCGGATCAAATTTGATTACGATACCTGAGGAGCTGAGTGTGGACGTCAACTGGGGCTATTTCACAGTTCTCCAAACCACTCTCTTGTGTGCCGAACACCTTCTGAAGCAGCAGAGTGTTGACTGGCGCTACATGCTCAATCTGAATGAGAAAGAATTCCCCTTGCGTACCAACTGGGAGCTGGTTCGTGCGCTCAAGAATCTGAACGGATCGAATATAGTGGAAGGCATGAATGGAACTCGTTTCAAGGATCGTATACCGAAGAAAACTCTTTCGTTCAAGGTTAGTTTTACCGGTTGACAAATTTGGGATACTCCCGTCAATGGTATGAATGAGTTTAAATGCAACGCCTGAGGTTAGCGCCCGTGGATAAACTCCAAAAGTTACTGTAAACATAACAGATGATAAGAGAGTCCCGAATAGCACAGTATTTGAGGCCCATTTTCTGCTCGATCGCTCCTGCCTAGACTTCTTTTACCAGTCTTCGCGACATACACTCATTCGCATACCAAGTTGGTTTTAACAAGGAACTCAACTAAATCCCAAGTAAATCACTCATTTATGACTCATTATGTTTCATAAAGACTCCCTCGTTTTTCATTTGATACGCGATATCCGAGATATCGAAGTATATTTTCCCCAAGGAAACTACTCATAAGGTTGCTGAGTAGTTTCCTTCAAGAAAACTTCCGTTTTTTCCCATGTGAGGACGAATGAAATTTCCTGGGATGAAGGATTAGTTTAGACGTGATAGGTGGAAGAAGTAGCGTTCACAGTTTCAAAAAACGTTGATTGCATAAATGAAGTCTCAGGGTTCACGTGATCCTTGAGAAGGCTGTTTTTTCTAACCTCAACCCAATCGGCACATTCTGTGTCACATCACAATTATACGGCCACTAGACTTTTTTTAAAAACATCTCGATTTTCGAGCCAGGGTCCAGGAAGTCAAACACAATCTACATGAAACTTCTGTGAATCAAACTTCAAACAGATACCGTTGAAAGTTGGAGTTTTTTGTCAAACTTCCTCTGATCTGGGGAACGCATTCGATATTCACATGCCCAGACGCTTTCAGTAGTGCGAAATTTATTGACAGAACCAAAGGAACTGTGTACTTCCTTGTGTCGCTTTGCGATAACACCTTATTGAGAATGGAGCTAAACAACCGAGGGAATCGCGGTTTTTGTAGGAAAAAGCAAATCGCTAATTTCCGGGATAGGAAATAATTGTGCCAACCCCAAGTTCTCTGGGGTAAAAGTACATTAGCCAGACCTGTCTCGTTGATGTTTGGTCAGATCAGCTACAAATCTTGAACAAAGCTGATTCCGGGGAGCGTTCAAACCGGGCCTGTCTTCAAAGAGTTAGCCAATCGATGGTCACACACGGGCCCATTTCTGTAAGACGTGGTATTTTTGTGAGTAAGCATCTGAAACCGTCATGTTCCCATCTTTTGTTAATGCTCCCCTGTACGCACCGTCAACACTAAATTTGCAATTCCTATTTGTAAAAAAATTGCTGGGAAAGTCAACAGTCTTTGTGGGCCATATTTTATCCACACATGTCATGACGGAACAAAACTAGAAAAAAATTGTTCCGTTGGCTCCCTGATGACAGTTTATGAATTTCTGAAACCGGTCGTCGTCTGTCGAAGAGTTTTCGGCAACCTTATGAGTAGTGCGTTACGAAATATTTAACTATTCAGTGGATCGTAGAAACAAACAACCTCACCTTTCCGATAAGCTTGACCTGCCATTGATCGGATTCCCCGAAATTTTGGAGCGGAGATCTTCAACTATTCGAGACCCCCTTCAAGCAGCCACTGAGAGGGACTGAAATGTTCTTCCTTTTCGCTCCAATCCTATAAAGTTTTGGCTCTCTTAATAAGCCAATGAAACAGTTGTGCTAACTAACGTCCAGTTATTTATTGGGGGGTTCATTCTTCAACACAAGCAGCAGAACGGCTTCTGCTACAGAAAAACAACCCAGCCGCTTCAGAGGTAACGCACTACCCATTGAATTGCTGAAAGCTCGTTGACAGATCACAACCGGTTCCAAGCTTACCAGATGGGCGCATCCCCGAGTTTCCGTCATAAACGAGAGATTCATCTACATTAATTCGAGTCTCGTGTCAATACAACACTCGTTAGTTTATGTTCATTAACGCCGAGGAACGGGGCACTTTAAAACGCGAATTGAGCTTGCACATGCAGGTGATCCGTTCAGTATGAAACGCAGGAACACTATTCGGTTGACCAATTATCGAGCTTATTGGTCAGGAGCGACCGGATCACAAAGAGGGACAAACTGATCCTTTGGTTCATCTGACATCGTATCAAAAAAGGGTTTATTGATCAGTAAAATCGACCTCTTGAAATCACCCTGTAGAGCACCTGCTTACCACAAGAAACAAATCATTCTTTTAGGGATGGATCGCAATTTAGTGATTGCCATCACAGACTAGCTACAGTCAGGAAAGATCACTGGACAGAGTGCGAAAGCCAACCGACCCTTCTCTCTCGTGCCGCCTCACGCAGACACAGTCGAGGGTATACAGCAGACTGCATCATACTCTACACCACAGTCCTTTCATACGTGTTCCAAGAAAGGTTATCAATCTGCTTGCTATCCTGCACTCAGTTATGTGCACAGATCAGACAGAAGTGTTCGTCACATCCCATTCCACAAGCCTTTAGTTGGTGTCCCATTAGAGTAGACCATAAGGTGAAGCAAGCTAGTGACACGAATGGGGAGTGTTTGTACCGGATTGAGGAGCCATCACTTCAGACCAAACTTGTCGTCTTGTTCATCACAGAATCCCTGGAAGTCTTAGAGGGCGAAACAAAAAACCTTTAATTTCGTCCCGGTTCTTCAGACAAAAACACGCCTGACTAACATCCATAGATTTTCCGTGAAATTCACTTTTCAACACCAGCTGCTGCTACAGAAAAACAACCTTGTTGTTCAAGACTTAACGTACTACTCATACTCATAAGGTGTTGAAAACTGCGACCAAGTTCCCGCCAACCAGTTAACCGGGCAACCAGGTTTTTCGGACGTATGCACTTACAGCGCACAACTCGCTAAATATTTTTTCAAAAAAGCCAGTCCCGATACCTTCGCATGCATTGTTGGTTTAATTCCACGATATTGTGTACGCCGTTTGATCCGCTTTTTTTTCTTAAAGCGTAATTCGTTCAATACTTGTTACACTATCAACGTCGACGCTAAACCGGTGGTGATGGTCCCCGATGTCGAATCCAAGGTTGTGTACGTTGCGACGGAATTTCACATTCAGACAATCATCGCAATTCCGTCACCTGTTGGGTTTTTTTTCTCGCAATGCGAGCTCACGACCACACGAAAAATGGATCCAAGTGGCTCTGTTTGTGCATCGGTTGTAGGGAACAAGATCCCTTCTTACTGGAGTAAAACAAAACCATCCAGAAGGGGGTGGAAATATCGTCTTGTGGCAAAAACATCAGGGCACAAATACCAAGTGGTAGATGACCAAACAACTAATCCCTTCGCAAGGGTGGACATCTGCAGGATTAGAACGTGGGCTATGGCAGTACGGTGTTTTTATAAACACTTATTGTTGTGGCGATAAAGTTCCTTCGAAATGAATGAAAACTACCGCTCGAGGAAAATGTCGTTAGCTCAGGCAGCGTAGATGGTCGTTGGCTCGTTCGCTGAGCTGGGCAATTTGATTGCAGACGTTTCATCACCAAACGAGGTGACATCATCCCCACTAACGCACTGATGATGTCACCTCGATTGGTGATGAAACGCCTGCACTCAAATTACCCACCTCAGCGAAAAAGCCATCGACCAACTACCGCTTGAATTCATGCGAGTAACAAATAGAACGAGGTAGTTACTTCCTTGTTATTTCTTTATCAGTGGGAAACTTTTGCTCATTTGAAATTTCATTCTGTAAGCTAAGCAACAGTGCAGCTGATTCGTTCATCAACGGGAATCTTACAGACCCCAAGTCGGGGGTCTGGACTTAACGGTTTGGCCACGAGAGCGCTTGTTCAGCTCTGCGATTAGCTCTCGCCTAGACAGGATATAGCGTCAATCATCGCTCGATCACGGAAGGCAAATCACGTGGTCATGTATTGATTGCCTGCTCGAGGGACGATTTGTCATCCGAACGAAATCTCAACTGAAAATTACTCAACTTCCTAACACTAGCATCAAATAAATTCGATCCAGTTTCCGAGATTATGTCGAATTAAGTCAGTCATGGTGAGTTTCAAACAGTACACCTAAAAATCGATACAGAGGGAAATAGATTATTTCATGGTTGTGCGGGGATACGACTTGTACCGTTTGGACCATTTCTAGACAGTCCTGGATGATCTTTTCGACAGACGAACGTACAATTCGGGAGGCTACCAAATTTTATACCAGTATTTCGACCAGTTTTCGGTTAACCACATCGGTCATGGGTACCCCGTAAAAACCAAGTTCGTGCAAGACCATTCAGCTGTAGCACACTTTCGGTGCTTAGCTGCCATGCTATCCAAAGGAAGCACGATTGCTGGAATACTGCCAGGTTGCCCAAGCCCAGACAAGGGAAGCCGAGAGGCAAAGGCCGGGTTCGAACCATGGAACTTCCGGTCAGTAAATCCGCGCTCTAACCACTTAGTTCACCTTGCCATTCGTGCAAATGAGATCTGTCGAAATAAAGACTCGAGTAAAACATGAGGTTGACGGAAACTCGGAGACTACGCCCACCTGATGAGCCCGCAATTGTGCAAACCAGTAGACAGAAACCGATAGCTACTACTCGGGCTTGACCTTAAGTTTCTCGTTCCAGATACTCCATCGTCAAGGTCATTCGCAGTGTACTACTGGCGTATCGTGGTTTAAAGAAAGGTTTCAAGTGTAAATACATGAAGGATATAATCAATCCGTCTTTCAAATGTAGTGGATTGTTGGATGGCTACACTCTACACAGTACATCGGTCTCGGAAGTATTACAAAAACATGTTTTTTGTTTGGAAAACGTGGCACTGGAATTTTTTACCTTGAAGCTCCAAACACAAAAGGACATAGACTATTATTGGAGTGATTTTTAGTATACTTATGCGATAGTCTTTAAGTACCTTCCCCCCACCAATCGATGTCCAATCTGGAACAAGATATTACTCGAACTCGGGGAATCTTGGTGGTCGATAAAGATTCCGAGGAGGAAAAATCCTACCACCAAAAACCTGCAAATGAAACAGTTAAATACATTCTGGCTCGTCAAGCAGCCAAGATTCTTACTGTGAATT